CTTTATAGTGTGGTTTATGGAGCTTGGCCAAAGCACTCAAAGGGCTTTTGGTCATAGGTTGGCATTGTTGCACTTCAAATAGAGTCACACAATAAATGTTCATTTGCCTAGGAAATCTGGAGAGCCTTTCATCTTAAGCTGTTTCAGTGTTGCTATGTTGGTTCTTTGTTTTAGAAGGCAAAGAGTGTTTCTGGCAGTTTGGTAGCTGGGCATGTCTTTAAAGCAAATGCTATCATCAAGGAAGCACAAGGATGAGGCAGCAGCAAAGCTGCTAACTCTGAGAGTTCAGCTAGATTTCTCAAATGAAGAGCAGACAGATCCAGCAGAGTCCAAACTGCATCTGTGAGGAGACAGGATGCAGATTCTACTACAAAACCCCTAAATCATAAAGGTGAAGGAAGTACACCAGAATTTTGAGCTGTGCTGTGGTGAAAGCAGCTGATAAACCAACCCAGACTAACAATGACACTCCTCATACCAACCTGGTACCTGCATGGTAAGTGTCAAGTCTATGGTAGTAGTTTGCTAGTGAAGGGACTGGAGCACAAGTGGCATGAGGAGAGGCTGAGGGAGCTGGGGGTGTTCAGCCTGGAGAAGAGGAGGCTCAGGGGAGACCTTCTCGCCCTCTGCAACTCCCTGACAGGAGGTTGGAGTCAGGTGGGGGTTGGTCTCTGCTCCCAGGCAACAGCAGCAGGACAAGAGGGCACAGACTCAAGCTCTGCCAGGGGAGGGTTAGGTTGGAGATTAGGAAGAGATTTTTTGCAGAGAGAGTGCTCAGGCATTGGAATGTGCTGCCCAGGGAGGTGGTGGATTCCCCATCCCTGGAAGTGTTTAAGAAGCATCTGAATCTGGTGCTGGAGGATCTGGGTTAGGGTTTGGGGGTTCCAGCAGTGACAGGTTAATGGTTGGACTGAATGATCTTAGAGATCTCCTCCAGCCTTGATGGTTCTGTGATTCTGTATTTCTGACTCCTGACTGTGAGAGACTGGTCTCAAGGTCAAGTTCTTCTCATACAAAGCAGGTTGTATGGATAAATGCTAGGCTGCATCAGTAGCAAGAAACCAGGGGCAGAAAGCCTCTCCTGCAAGTGGCACCACAGTTTACATCCATCCAGTAATTCAGTGCCTGAAATCCCCTGGCTGAGTGGCTTTATCAGTGCTGTCTGACAGGAGCAGCCCAGCCCAGCTACTCACTGTGATCACAGGTCAGTGCTCAAGTTGTTGCCCTAGTCCTGGCCAAGTTACTAGCCCAGACGTTTCCCACAACCCCAGGGACAGAATGCCTGCAAGGAGGAGGCAATTTACAGGGCTAATCACCAGTTTAGGCAGCAGCCTTGGCTTTAATCTGTGTGTTTTTACAGACTCATCACATGGCTCAAGTCTGCCAAAGGCTTTTCAACTCAGTTTCTTCCTCGCTGCAGATGATATTAACCTGCCTCCTTAGCAGCTCTATTATTATGTGAAGTGTTATTACTATGAAGAGATGTAAAGCAAACTAAAAATACTATTATCAGCTCCATGGTATCACCCAGTGCAACACCGATTAGCTCACAGAGAACCCTCCATTTCAGCTGCACCTAGCAAATGACTGGTACTTCTCACCTGCCTTGGACAGAAACCAGTTTGTCTTTGTGCAGTCAGAAAGTTAACTAGGACAGAAGAGAGAGGAACAGTGAAGTCTAAAAACTGAACCCAAGCTCAGGAAACCCTTCCCAACATTCAGACCTCTCTCAAAGGGGCAGTAAGCACTTTTCAGCACTCAGACTGCTACTCATAAAGCTGCAAATTCCCACTGGGACAGGACCTGCCTCCAGGTGTGCACACACACACACACACACAGGGTGTCCTGCACTCGGAACCACGACAGGCTGGAGAGGTGGAATAATGCAAACCTCATGGAGCGCAACCAAATGAAGTGCAAGGTCCTACATCTGGGCCATGGCAACCCCAGGCACAGCTCCAGGTTGGGTGGGGAGGGGATTGAAACCAGCAGTGAGGAGAGAGACTTGGGAGTGACAGTGGCTGAGAAGCTCAGCATGAGCTGCAGTGTGAGCTCAGCCCAGAAACCAATGGAATCCTGGGCTGAGCCACAAGAGTGTGGGCAGCAGGGCAAGGGAGGGGATTCTGCCCCTCTGCTCTGCTCTGGGAGACACACCTGGAATACTGCACACAGCTCTGGTGTCCTCAGCATCAGAAGGACATGGAACTGTGGGAGCAAGTGCAGAGGAGGCCACAAAGTTGCTGAGAGCACTGGAGCATCTCCCTGTGAGGACAGGCTGAGGGAGTTGGGGCTGTTCAGCCTGGAGAAGAGAAGGTTGTGTGGAGAACTCTTAGTAGCCTATCAGAACCTGGAGGAGCTCCAGGGAAGCTGCAGAGGGATCTGTGTTAGGAGCTGCAGGGACAGGACAAGGGGCAATGGGGACAAACTGAAGGAGGGAAAGTCTAGGTTGGATGTGAGAAGGAAGTTTTTTCCTGTGAGGGTGGTGAGACACTGGCACAGGTTGCCCAGGGTCCATTCCAACCCTTAAATTCTATGATTCTAAGATGATTCTAATTTTTTATCCTATTTTCCCCTTCATGAGCCCATTAACATATATTATTCATCAGTGCATGCCCCAAATTTGAGCCTTCTAGTTCAAATGACGAGCAGACATGTCCTTCTGCAGCTGACTTTTATCACATTTTTTATTAAACATTTTGTTCAGTTTATACTTTGAACATAAATACACAAGTTTTATGGCTCATGTTATAAAAGTCACTACTGTGTGTTAGAAAACATATATTGTAGTGGTTACACTTGTTCCCCTCTTTTCCTAGTGTTTTCCATAGCTTCTATTAATCTAGAGAAGCACTAGCAGAAAGCAAAATCCAGCCTAGCAGCTCAGTCTGCGACAGCTCTGGGGACTATTTGCCAGCTGGAAGAGAAACTTTGGTTCCTGCCTGGTTCTGTAGTAAGGTAACATATCAGAAGGAAACATTGCACCTCGTGCTTAGTTAGTTACTAAAAGTCTAGTCCATGGCAATATGTGTCTTTCAAGGCAGACATACAACTTCTCTCTTGCTTTACAGCTTAGTGAGATAAATAGGTATTTTCAAAGCAGAAGGTAAAGAAGGGATCCAGTTCTGCTCTTGCTGAAGTCACTGGCCAAAGCCCAATGTCCCTGCAGAAGAGCAGATGTGCACTTTATTACCTGTTTTATTGGTAGAACTGAAAAAAATTCCACTTCGGCTGCAAGATGGGATGAATTTCACTTTCAGACTCTCATGCCAGCAGATCCTGTAGCAGCACCATGCATGGGTTTCCAGTTGGATGTGTGGTGGACTCTGCTCACTGCTCCTGGTGATGAAGCTCTGTGTGAGAGTAGATGTGATCCCCCAAGTCCTGAAGGCACAGACAAGGAGCACCATGCCCAAGGAGCACACAGAATAAAACCTCTGGTCTTTTTACTGCAGTGCAGCAAAGGGAGCCTAGATTACATGCTTTATACACAGAAAATCTTCTCACTTGCTTTTCAATGTGCTTTAAAGTGTACAATGCAGGACTTCCACACCATGGGCAAGGAGCAGCTCCCAGGGCCATAGCTATGAAGACTGTAGAAAATGCAACCAGCCTTGGTCTCTCAAGCCAGGCAGCCTAGGCACTAGGCCAGGGAGAAGAGGAAAACTTTGGGAAAGTGTTGCCAACTGGCACTCTGCTTTTTGTCTTCTCCCCACCAGGACTCATGCCAACACCGAGCCCATGCCAACGCTGACAATACCCAACTGAAGTTGCAAGATGCACAGCGAGAGACACAGAATAAAAGCACAAACCAGGAGTAAAGATCCCAAGTTTACACAGACCCACCTGTAACTGCTGTCCCTTGTGACTCATTGCCATCCATGTTATTACAGCTGGAGAATCCTGTTCTGCTCAGGAATGTAGGATGGGGGCAAAACCTCCAAGAAGAAATCAGGATGTGTATCTGAAGTGCCTATTTTGGTGCCACCGAGCAGGCAAAGCTGACTGCACTGGGATCCCCTCTGTCCTGCACAGGTGGCAGGAGAGACCTGACATCAGCCCAGTGCTCTGTCCAGCTTGGTGCCACATCAACCTATGGTTGGTACTGGTTTAAACGAGGCAGATTGAAACAAAACGTGGTGGGATCAAGGGGTTTGTATTAGAAACAGCAGAAATAATTCCAGGGTAAACTAATCCCTGACTGGGATAATCATGGTGCCAAAGCAGACAGAAGTTTGACTTGATTCTAGTCAATCCATACATCTGACAAGTGTTCTACTTCAGATATACTTCCTCTGCATTTGACTCTTTGCAGCCTTCTCTTCATACCAAAGGCAAGTCACAGACACGTTGCACCTACCAAGACAATTTGTGCTGCAGCATTTTTAATAACACTAAGCATCAGAAAATAGGAATGAAAAAAATAATCGATTTTCTAGGTTGAAATAAACCAATCAATTAATCTAACTGGGTTTGTCCAGACCAAACTGCAGCTTGTGGAGTGATGTTAGAAACTGCCATAGTTATAGCCAAATTAATATTAGCTATTGGTTTTGTTGCAAAAATATTTGCTAATTTGGTAAAATCTACAGCCCTTACAATATGTCACTTTGGAAAAAAGAAGCTGATTTACATGAGCAGAAAACAGCATGAGACATGGTGTGTCTTCCTTGCCTTCCCTAAGTGCTACAGAGCATAATGATGATATTTATAAACATGAATATAAATAAGGTAAGAGATTCTAAAACAATTGAAAAGTGCCTAACAGTTCTTTTTTTTTTTTTTCCTAAGTATCAAGGACAGCACCAATGGCTAAACATTCCCAGTGCCCTGACACTGCAGAATGGTCTGTGAGGACTGTTGTGCACCCTGAACCCTGTGCTGAAGCTACTGGAATTGCTCCCAGGTGGATCAAGTCTATCCTTTAGGTCCTGATCTGGCATGAGCTGCAAGAGGTTATCAGACCTTTTGTAACAGCAGAAACAACCTTGGATTTAGTTGAGTTAGATATTTAACAGTGGGATTTGCCAGACCATCACTGAAGACACTAGTTCATCTTGTCGCTGCTGCTTGGTCTTCTTGTTCACTCTCCTGTGTCCTTGGCCACCAGAAATGACCAATACTGAACTTGCTTTCATTTTCTTTGATTTCTGCCTCTTACTTTTGAATGAGATATTTTGATCCTTCAAAAGCTCATAAATGTTACTGTCCTCTGGTCTGTGTTCTAGGGAACTTGATCCATGAGACAAAGTAAGGGATCCAGAAGATGATGACAAGTCACTCTTTTGTGCAATGGACCCTGCTGACCCCCCGAGGCAAACTGCAGGCTCATGGGTGTTGCTGAGGGAAGAGCCTGGTCTTTCACTCTGCAGAATGTTCCTTTGGTCCTCATCCTTGGGTTCTGAGCCAGGAAGCAGGTTGGGCCTCACTTTGTTTCTGCTCTTCCTGGCTATGGATGTAGCTGTCACAAGAAACTTGACTGGGCTGTTGTGTGCGTGGTAGGACACCATTCCTCGTCCTGGAGCCAAGAGAAAAGACACAATTAGAGAACATTATTTATCTGACCACAATGTTCTGCCATAATTGGTTCATGAAATTCTCTCATCCATTCTGTCTTTTGTCTGGTGTGTACAGAGAAAAACCAAGAAGTACCCAAAAATAATGTGTTCCACCACAAATGTTCTAGGCCTGTGCCAAGAAATCAGCTGAAACGTGGCAACATGGATTTCAGCTGATGTACTTGTGTCCTCTGTTCTCACAACAGCACGAGGACAGAGCTGCTGCTAACTCCTTCTGTTGGCATCAACACAAGTGGAACACTGAGTTTTCTCCAGCGAAACACGAACAAAATAGGTGGATCCCAAATCAATCCTGTTATACCTCTCCAGAACAGCATAAGAACATCTGGGTCACTGCAAGACACCTCCAAACTATCCAACAGGAACTTGAACTCATCCTTCTGGATGGCTGTGTAGTTACCATGAGAGATTCATAAGGAAATGTCTGAAAAATTAGTATTTTTTCCTTTTAAGAAGAATTTAATCAGTGGGACAAGGAAGATTTATACTGTGCAAACCAGGAGAAGGCAGGAAAAACAAGTTGCATATGCACAGATTTAGAAGATGCAACAGTATCAGTCTAGGTGGTTGCTTCAGCAAGAAAAAGGGGGGGAAATGGGGGAAAAAAGTTAAAAAAAGTTGAATTCTTCAAAACAAGCTGCAACATGGCAAAGAGCTAAGCTATCCAGGGGAAAATCCCATTACCCTGTAAATCACTCTGCCCATCCCTAACTCCCTAGTGCACTCCAGGTCAGAAGAAAACGTTCTGCTCTTACAGAAAGCACAATCACATAAAGATAAATTATCAGTATTGGAAGCACAGCTGGAAAAAGCCACAATTTTCAAGCTCCAAGTCTGGTTATTGAAGACTTCAAAACAGATCTCTAAATACAACGTTGCCAGATCTGTAAGATCTGGTACACCTTGAGCCCAAATAACAGCAAGAACAGGTGACACAAACCACAACAATCCAAACAGAAAATGGAAGAATAAACCCAGTTTTATGCAGTTTTTGCCTTGTGTTTCCCTCCCCTGCACACAGGTTCCAGGAGTTCAGGAAGGATTGACTCTGTGTCACACCAGATTATTGCTGCGTGTTTTGCTCAACACAGAGGATTTCATTTTCATTTTGCAGAGTTACATAAGGTGTTTTCTTTTCCCCCTGGAGGAAGCTGCAAACAGTTTGCCTCCAAAAAATCTGCTTCCTTCCACAGCACAGAAGCTCAAGCAGAATCCTGAACCTAAAACACTGGGGAAAAGCCCCTGGAAAACACAATTTTAATGTCCTGCTGCTACTAGGAGCTTCAGAATTGGTGAAGTGAAGCAACAGCACTTGTGCATTGGTAGTTCTGACAGAGTAAGGTGAAAGTAACTCCATAAATCCATCACTCCAAAGTGAAAAGACTTGATCACTGCCATGAAATGAAATATATCTCATCTATTCCCCCCAAACAGGAGTGTTTGGGGGGGAAAGGGAACAATGAACCAATTTATTCAATAACCAGTCAGATCACATGCTACATTTTCAGTGTCTGTGTCTCTAAACCTTTCCCAAAGCTGGAAGAAAGACACACTGAATTCTCTTCTCTGTTCTGGGCTGCTCAGGGCCAGAGGGACATGGAGCTCCTGTGGCAGGTCCAGGGGAGGATGAGGAAGATTGTTTGGGGGGGAAAGGGAACAATGAACCAATTTATTCAATAACCAGTCAGATCACATGCTACATTTTCAGTGTCTGTGTCTCTAAACCTTTCCCAAAGCTGGAAGAAAGACACACTGAATTCTCTTCTCTGTTCTGGGCTGCTCAGGGCCAGAGGGACATGGAGCTCCTGTGGCAGGTCCAGGGGAGGATGAGGAAGATGCTGAAGGGACTGGAGCACCTCACCTCAGCTGAGCAGATTGCCCAGAGAGGTTGTGGATTCTCCTAACTGGAGATATTCCAGACCCCTCTGGACACAACCCTGAGCCATGAGCTCTGGGCTGGCCCTGCTGGAGTAGGAGGTGGGACCAGATGATGCATTGTGGTCCCTTCCAACCTAACTGACTCTGGGATTCTCATCCCCAAGTATTTGGCTGCACTCTGACAGGATTAATGCCTATCCCAGACTTATGCCTTAAAGAAAAACAGCTGTCCCAGCTCAAACAACTCAGACAAAATTAGACAAGTATCTGGATATACTTGGGAAGAACAAGTCTAATTCCTTCACTAAGCTCTGACATTTATCTAACCACACACATAATTTGGCTACTGATGGAAGAGAAATGACTTCAGTACTTGTTTGAGACATGTCACTCACCAGTCACTTTGGGAATCCCCTGCAGACGTGGCACTGGCAATGCCACAATTATGCCCAGGTTGGTTCCAACCAGCAGTAAGCCATGGCACACCAGGAGACTGGTCACAGACACTCGCTGCTGCCCTGGGAAGGTCAGAAGTTCTCTGTTACTGAAGAGTCATCACCTTTGCCAACATCAAAGTCACTTCAAGCAAACACATTCAGCTGCACCATCTCATTCAAACATAGCAAAGGCAAATATTTTGCTGGGTTATGGCATCAAACTTCCCATATATGAACATTTAAAAGCTGTCAAACTTCTGAAACATTCTGCCCTAAATCTCTGAACCCTAAGGTAGACACAGGTTATCTTTACAAACAGGTTTTTATGAATAGGCTTTGGATGTTCTCAGCACTAAAACTGAAAAGCATTTCACTTCACAATACTCAGCAGTTATATTGCTGTAACTCACTGTACTCAGAACTCAAACCTGTCCATGATTCCTCTTTTTATCCTAGTTTTAGTCTGTGAAACAGTGTCAGAAATACTCTGTCCCTATGTTTGAGTTTGGTCCCCACCCAGTCAGGAATGGCATTGGCATGTTGGAAGAAGACCAATGGAAGGTGACCAAGATGATGAGGAGACTGAAGAGATGAAAAGAAGTGGATGAGAAGCTCCCCATGAGCTGCAGTGTGAGCTCAGCCCAGAAACCAAAGGAATCCTGGGCTGAGCCACAGCAGTGTGGGCAGCAGGGCAAGGGAGGGGATTCTTCCCCTTGAAAGAGGGGAAATTTAGGTTAGATCTTAGGCAGAAGTTTTCCCTGTTCTGGTGGTGAGACCCTGGCCCAGGGTGCCCAGGGAGGCTGTGGCTGCCCCAACCCTGGCAGTGTTCACAGCCAGGTTGGATGAGCCTTGAGCAACCTGCTCTGCTGGGAGGTGTCCCTGCCCAGGGCAGGGCTTGGGGCTGGGTGAGCTCTGAGCTCCATTCCAACCCCTTAACAATCTCTGAACCTCTGGTGTATCACCAATGAATGTGTTTTCTGTCTCATCCCTTGAAGCTGAGCCAATTTACATCCAAGAATCTATGAATCACAGACTCCTGGGGAAAGCAGGGAAGGAGAACCTTGACTGTATCTCAAAGCACTCGACTGGCAAGCAGGAGACAAACCACAGATCAAGTCTTTCCTCACCAAACTTTACAAATCAGAGCATAAACCCAACAATGTCTTTTAATTGGGGCAGGTCTGGAATCCAAGCTCTGTCTGCCCAAAAGCACATCCTGAAACACCTCAAAGACTTGATGAGTAGCTCATCCTCAGCAGGTGTAACAAGGACAAGCAAGTCTAGAAGGCTCCATGTACTCACACAGACCTCCAGAGACTCCAGTGCTGCTTTCCATAGCTATAGGTGTTTATGCTGGTAGGAATGCATCATCCCTCCTCAGCTAAATAAGCATGGACAGTCTATGCTGGAGACAGATCACAAGTCTTTTGAAGCTTGTGTTTGCCCTTTTCATGGCTTGTTGGTTGGTTTTTGGTGGGATTTTGGTTTTTTGTGTTGGCTTTTTTTGAGCTACTAATGGGATTAATATAGTTTCCAAAACAAAGCACAGCAGTTCAGCACAAAAGAAGCTCCAGCAGCAATGCCCAAACACCTCTGTGTGCTGGGAGTTTTCAGAACTCAGGGTTTGAGTTCAGAATGTGATTTAGAGGTCATACCTGACCTCTTGCCACATACTTGACATATGACTCCTCTCCTCAGGTGACTGCAGGTTACTTGACCTCCCTCCATGTCACTTAGAGCTTGGTTTACAAACTGCAGGGATTTTTACCTAGCTGAACTGGCAATACACGTTTCTGTTTCCAGAGGTGAAAGCAGTAAATTATCAGCCAGACACTTAGAGCCTTAAATACTGAGCAGAACCTAAAGCTTGAACCAACCCTAGTGAGGCCAAAGGGAAAATCACTTGCTTTGAAACCTCAGACAGGAAACATCTGCACAGCTGAAAAGAGACTTTGAGATAACATGAAACAACTAAAAAAGTCTGTTTAGATTTTTAAAATGCTCGTTTTAAATATTAATTTATCTGCCAACCAAAGGTTTGAAACCTTAATTTTCTTTGTTATTTCCTTTTTGTTTTGATCTATTTCAAATTCTGAAGGGGGAAGAAAGCATCAAACCAATTGTTCAGAATGCTCTATGCAGTAAGCACAGAAATGAACAAGTTAAGAAGGGAAAATGATAAACATAAATGCCAAACCCAATAAAATACTCATCTTTAAATGGCAACTGTCCCAATGCAGACAAAACTGCTAAACCTGAAAATAATCTGACCAAGACCTTGACTTTACAAAGAACTGAAGTCAACAATTAAGCTTATACTTTGCCAAATTGTTTTATTCCCTGTGTTCTACTCTGTGTTCTCAGGTCTCCATTACAACACCACCAGACTTGGGTAAATCTTCATGAATCTACTGAAGCCAATCCCAGGTATGTGCAAGGACATTGCTGTATGCCATAAAATTAGGGAACCATAGAATTTCTAGGGGTTGGAATGGAGCTCAGAGCTCATCCAGCCCCAAGCCCTGCCCTGGGCAGGGACACCTCCCAGCAGAGCAGGTTGCTCAAGGCTCATCCATATCCTCTGACATGGTCACACTGCTCTTCCTATGGAAAAACCAGCCCATTGTACACATCTATTGGGCTGACCTAATGTTTGTCATTTCATCTTTTCATCATTTCCCAGCCATAGGATCACAAAGCAACTGCATTTCGTGGTCTGGTACCTGGTGGGATGGGGACAAAGGAAAGCTGGAAAGCCTCAAACTCTAGTTTGTTTTCCATAGAGAGGAAATGATACTTTTTTTTTTTTTTGCTTTGCTTTTCTCCCCTGTTTCCAGGAAACACACATGTCACGAGAGGATATATGGGTATAAACAGAACAGAGCAACTTAAGCAGAAATCATCTCTCTGTTAAACAGGTAACCTGGCCATGTCCACAGGAGCAGTGAAGTATCAAGGTCACAGGGATCTCTTTAAAAGGACAAACTCTTGTATTGCTGAAAGCAAAAACATGTTTAAGGATGTACTTGAATGATGTAATACTGAATGTGGCTGTGAAAAAACCAATGGTCTGCCTGGTCATATGCAGGATGGGATCTCCTGCCAGGGCTGAGGGAGAGGAGAGAGGGAATGGCCTTGAGCTGAGCCAGGGCAGAGTCAGATTGGGTGTGAGGAGAAATGTTTTCCCTGTTGTGGTGTTCAGCACTGGGATATTACCCTGGAGGTGTTTCAGAGGTGTCTGGATCTGACCCTCTGAGCCTCTCTGAATCACTAGCACAGTCACCTCCTGTGCCATTTACCTCACCCTTCACACTGATTCTGTGTCCATTCTGTCCTGCAGGGTTGTCTCCCCTTTCCCTAGCACTGCCTGCTCTCCTCGTGTAAAGGATATTTAAGTCATCTTCTCCCATGAACAAAACTGGGAACATCTAGTGCTGGAACTCTCTTCATTAGTCCCTGCTGCTAACTTTGAATTCAGCACTGTACCTCACTGCAGCCACTCCTGGCAGTAAGTTTCTCTTTGGCTTCTACTGTAAAACAACAAAAACCCTGCAGTAACTTCATGGAATGCTGTTCCTCTGCTTTACACTACTCTAAGCAAAGACACAGATGACATTTCCAGGTATCCTATCAGGCCAACATTACCTATTGCTCCTGCTAAAATCCTGGGCAAAGAAGTTAACTCCTCCAAAGTTATACAGAGATTTTGCCTTTTTCATCTCTCTTCTGAAGGCTCTTCACAATATTTTTACACCAATTTCTTCCCTCTCATTTCAATGCCACTTGAGTTTTATTTATCTGTTGTTCTGTGTGTTAAAAAACTGTTGGATTTCAGAAATTAAAAGCCAAAAAAATGCCCAGTGAAAGGAATACACAGATTGCAAACACACAGCTCTTTCACTGTGTTGTATTTCACTGTTGCACTTTGATTTTTTTCCCTTTTCAATCTCTGTATATACTCCACACAACTTGTTTTATTCTTTAGCTGCTTTGAGCTCCGAGGTCTTTACTGCTGCTCTATTATGTAAACCTCCTACTACTCTGTCTTTTAGCTTTTGTTGTCCCAGCATTTTTGAGCTCATACAAACAGGCCCAAGAGCTGCTGCTAAATAATTGAAATTCATTTCATTTTTAGAATGGATTCTCCCCTGGAACATTTGCCATCACAATGTTCTACTCCCAAAATAAATTCCCATTTCCATTCACGGGTGTGCTCTTTGTGAAGGCACAGAGCAAAAAAAAAAAAAAAAGCAACTGAAATGGGTAGGAATGACACCAAAGGAGATATAATTAGCTAAAACCCCTGTACAAAAATAATGGTGTGTTGCATCAGCAGTTTTATTGCCATGGCAATGGACAAAACTAAACTTTGGAGGGTTTTTATGTGCAGAAAATACATATCAGGGAGGCCTCACTTCCCTTTTTTCTCCCGCTGTAAACAGCAGAGCACATTAAAAGTTAATCTTTTTACAACTGATCTTTATTTCTTTGCATAACTGGGAGGAATTCACAAGCAAACGACCTAGTTAAGGGCAGGAGATTTGCTGCTGCTCAGGGTTGGAGCTACAGTCAAACATCACATGTCAAAAACACTGTCTAGAACATGATCTGAGCAAACACAATCTATAGCAAGAGCTTTATTGCAAGGCTAATGTCATCTGAAAGGAAACATGGTAAGAAGACAGAGAGGGAGGAAGTGAAATGTTTTTGATGTAAAATTTATATCTAACTGCTGTGGGAACATAAATCTCAGTGTGGGAAGAAGTGGCTGCTGCTGCTGACAGGAGGCAATAAAGCTGCTGCACACACTGCCCATAAAAGCTGCAGAAGTTGGTCTAGTCCAGCCCATAAAGAGGAAGAGACAGAGAGAATTGTTGTCCACTCATGGACACCTCCTGTCCATCCCTGCCAGTACCACAGCTCTGTGCTCCTCTTCTGCCAGCACTGCCACAGGTCCCACCTGCTGTGCTTGCCCACACTGAGCTCCACATCATTCCCTTGCTCCACTGGGCAGGCCAGTGCCACTCTCAGATTTGGGAATGAGGGAACAGCTCCTGTCTTAACACACTGACTGAGCTGTAGAACCTTAGCCTAAGAACCACAGGTTTCCATTTTCACTGATAAAACTATTTAATTCTGCAGCTTAAAGCTCCAGTCAGCAGAACACTGAACACACACCGAAATGTGAGTGGGTCAGCTGAGTCTGCTGAGAAAACTGATGGAGCTTAAATGAAGCAAGTGGGGTTTTGATCCTAGGCACACTGACTCTGTCAGCTGCTTGTTCCTAAGTTCCAGAAGCAAAGCAAAGATATTTCATGGCAGATTGCATTGTCCAGCTGTCTCACAGGCACACAAAAATATGATTCAACAGAAGAATCCACCTGCTTATCCACAGAATTACATTTACAACCTCCAAGGGGCAGAGCTGTTTCTCACCCAGCTCATGGCACACACTGTTTGCCTGGGCAGGACACAGACTCTGACTTACTAAAGCAAATAGACACGAGACAGTTCTCAGACTCAAAGTCCAAGATGAATCTCCTGATTCTGCCCAATCTACAGCACTGGAGAATGCCAGTGATAAAGACAAACCAAAAACATTATCATATGATACAACTGAGCTACCTGGCAACATATTGTGGACAGGTGTGGCAATGTTAACGTCTTGGAGGTGTTCCAGGGTCTCAGTGTGGAACAGGCGAAGAGTAGATCCAGATGTGAAGGCAATCCAGACTCCCACTCCAGCAACAGCCATGTGAGAGATTACCATCCCTTCCTCTTGATGGGCCTCAAAATGGCTCTGCAAGAAAATCAAGGGCATCAGTCACAGAATTACAGAATCCCAGAATAATCAGAGCTGGGAGGGACCCTTGGGGCTCACCCAGCCCAACCCCTGCCCTGCACAGACATCCCTGACACTCACACCCTGTGCTGAGAGCATTGGCCAAACACCTCTGGAGCTCTGTCAGCCTTGGGGCTGTGACACTGCCCTGGGAGCTGTTCAGGGCCCAAACACCTCTGGGGAAAGAAGAACCAGTTGCTAATCTCCAGCCTAACCCTGCCCTGACACAACTCCAGCCCATTCCCTGGCTCCTGTCCCTGGGCCCAGAGAGAAGAGCTCAGAGCTGTCCCTGCACTTCCTTCCCTGAGGGAGTTGTCCCAGCCATGAGCTCTGTGCTCAGTCTCCTCTTCTCCAGCTGAACAGCCCAAGTGCCTCAGCCACTCCTCACGTGCCTTCCCCTCAAGGCCCTTCCCCATTTCGTTGCCTCCTTTGGACACTCTGCAGGAACTCAATCTCTTTCTCACACTGAGGTGCCCAAACTGCTCACACTGTTCCAGGTGAGGCTGCCCCAGCACAGAGCAGAGCAGGACAATCCCCTCCCTCTGGCCATGCCTTGCCTGATGCCCCAGGACACGATGTCCCTCCTGCTCTCAGGGCTCACTGGGACTCAGACCCAACTTGCCATGGACCAGGACCCCCAGGGCCCTTTCCATCCCCTCATTCCCTGTCTCTAGGTACATCCAGAGTTGCCTGTCCCAGATGCAGAATGCAGCACTTGTCCTTGTTGTACTTCACATGGTTGGTGATTGCCCAGAGCTCTAACTTGCCTAGGTAAGACAAAGCAGCCCAGGATGGGATAACATTCAATTGGTGACTTTATTCTCTGTAACCCCCTGGCACTTTTTGTTGGTTCTAAACAAACCCAAAGTGCCTTTGCAGAGTGCAAGTGGCTACAGGCACAGAGATTTCTATGGATGTATTTCTACACCCAACAGCAACACAACTATCAGAGCTAGGGTCAAAAGTAAGTGACAAATTTCTTCTCCCCAGGGAGAGTATCAGAGGGTGAAATGAATATAGAACAGCAACTGATGTGTTCTCACCTCTGCCTTGCCAAGGAGCTTGAGGCATTGTGCCAGTTTGGGGCACTGTGCCAATAAAAGACATTGCCTACACCATTTTATTGCAGTAACATATCATTAGAACAGGTGGAATTGAGAGTCTTTGCCATATCAGAGAAGAGATAAAAGCAGGGCAAATGAATAGCATCCAAACCAAACATACAGGATGCCAAACAATCAATTTAAAAAAGCTTAAATAGGAATCTTAGAAAAGCAAAGAGGCATAGAATGAGATTGTTCTGAAAAACAGCCCAGCACAGCCCAAACTGCAGCCACACCACTTGACCTAGGAAGAGTTTTGTGACAGAATTAGGCCAGAATTGCCAGGTTTATTTCCAGAGATCTGGCTGCATGTCTCCAGCCTCACACAGGAACAATCTGGCTGTGCTATCTTACTGCTGCCATGTATTTCCTGGTGAGAATCACAGAGTCTAGAACAGTAATCACGTGTCCCAGAGGCTGTGAAGCTAACAAAAGTCCATTTCAAGCACCTACCTAACTCACTCTTCCAAAATCCTTCCCTCATCATTTAAACCAGCAGCAAAACAAGCCTCAAAGAGAAGTAGAAAATGTATGATCCAAGGATCTTCTTGGAAGAGACAAATCACCCAGAAAACAGCAAAAGACAGAGGAATTTAGGCTGTTAGCTCTTCAAACCCATGACAGTGACTCACAGAATGAATTGTACCAAACAGACAATTGTTGGGAGAAAACACCAACACCAATGAAACACAAAAAAAGCAGCAACAAAGCACACAAAGGAGGAGGCTGTGAGCTCATCACGACTCAGAGAACTTCATGGCTGTAAACATCATGCAATTCAGTGAAGGAGAGGCTGAATTCCTGGGGCTTCATCCGCTCTTCAGACCACTAAGATGCTCTTTGGGTGAGAGCTGTGATTTTGACAGAAATAAGGGCATAACAGGGCTTAACACTTCCTGGGAAATGTGGTCAATTTTGGGTGAGAGCTGTGATTTGGACAGAAATAAGGGCATAACAGAGCTTAACACTTCCTGGGAAATGTGGTCACAAATATGAGTTTGAATCCTTAACACTCTTCCCTCATTCCAAAAAAACTGCTTTTGCATGGCTGTTCATGGGAAAATGCTCTTATGCAAATCAAATTTGTTGTAGGCCACTGAGAAGCAAAAATCCTCACAAGGTACAAGTCACATCTAACTATGTAGAGGTTGTCTCTTAATTAAACATCCTGCTGTAATTAACAAGGAATTCCTTCCTTCTTTGCTGCCTTTGCTCAGACTGCATTTGTAAGCAAACTTCTTGCCCCAAACACTCTATGAGTTCCAAGAGCCTTATGGAAACCTAACAAGAAATCAGCAGAGACATCACAGCACAACGACCAGCTCTAGGATTGAACACAACTGAGAGTATACTTTGCCAAAAGCTTCCTGGACCATGGAATTTCTCAAACAGATCTTAACCTTTCAAGTTTCCCCACTTGCAGCCTGTAGCTGACGGGTGAGCAAAGCTGTTGAAGGTGTTTACCTCTATGGAATGTGTCACAGTGCTGATGATAAAGATTTGTCCACCACACGCAGCCCAAATGGTCTCCTCCATCACCAACAGGCTTCTAACAGGCAGAACCCCCAACTTCACTACCTTCTGAGGTTCTGTGTTCCATGTCCCATCTTCAAGAGAGCAGAAGAAGAAAGGTTAGACACAACCAAATGGTGATCCTTGTGTTACAGCAGTTCTGAAAGGCCAAGAGCTCCAAGTTCTGCAAGTTCATAGAATCAGAGAATTTAGAGGTTGGGCTGGACCTTACAGCTCCCCCAGCCCCAAACCCTGCCCTGGGCAGGGACACCTGCCACCAGAGCAGGTTGCTCAAGGCCACAAGTTGCCACTTCAGGCTGCACTGGGATTTACACATGGTTAATCTTATCTTCCAGGGCACGTTTGTAAGGGGGAAAAGCAAAGTGAAACACTCATATCTGTCACCTGACCAAATTTTCTCTAGATTAGATGAAAATCCAGGAATCCCACCCTGTTGTCCTGATCCCTCCCAGGGGAAGTGCAGTTAGAAAGCCATGGCTGACACAACCATCTCCAGCTCAGAACGAGCTCACAACCAACTTGTTCCAAGATAAAGCAATTTCCAACTCGGACAGAATCATCTCTCATGTGAAAAGTAGTCAGTGAGGATTTTACTCTCAGAGCACACGGATGGAATGGACCTTCCTGCTACCAGATGCTTCATTTGAGAAGGAAAATTCTTCATAAAATCTTGTGCCATCTCTTCACTTCTCTTACTTTTCCCCCCTAACTCTAAACCCCACAGTATTTTCTGTGCACTGCATTTAGCAGATCCAAACCACACTATGCATTTGTATGTGGCACAACCAGTTGCTCAGAGACCTTCTGATAAGAACTGCATTGCTGCCACTCACTGCTCTGGTCACTATCCCTTGCCATGTCTTTGCAACAAGGATTGGCAGATTATTTACCTCCAGACTGAAGAGGCAGCAACAGGACCTTTCTGAAAGAGTTGTAGTTCTTTCATACTTAGGAGTTGACATACTCAATATGTCAATAATCATTTTTATGCTTTCCTATTAGTTTCCATACTGTAAGTGCTCATGGAGCACAAAGGCTCAAAGATCACATTTCCATATACTATGCTTTATTACTAACATGAAAACATGTTAAAGTATCTGGGGCTTACAGTGAGATAAAGGATATCCCAAAAAAATCACCATTTCCTCACTTTAAAGCTCCTCCCTGCACAAGCAGCAGAAAAGATGCCAAATGACACTGATTTCAACTCAGTAATGACAAATTTTGATTGATGAGCCCAAGGTTAAGACATATCTTTAGACATGCACTTTGGTACAAGTGTTTTCTTTTCCCTCCTGAAAACAAGTGCATCTTCTATTATTTGCTTAGCTAAAGAAAGTGCAAAATTTCCTGTTTCACCAGTAATAGCAGCAACAACAATAATGAGAAGCCTCTGGAGTGGTTAGAATCATATAGCCATCCAGGCTGGAGGAGATCTCTATGATCACTGAGTCCAACCATGAACCTGTCACTGCTGGAACCCCCAAACCCTAACCCAGATCCTGCAGTGCCACATCAGACACCTCTGAAACACCTCCAGGGATGGTGACTGCACCACCTCCCTGGGCAATATCCCAGGGCTTGACCAAAGGAGCTCCACCAGGAGCTCTCCAGAGCAGCTCCCTCTCACCAGCTTGGGGCTGCCCAAGTTAAGGGCTGCTAGCACATCACAGCTTGCTAGGTTGGCCCCTGTTCTGCTCTGCACCCTCTCACTTCCAAGGGTTGTTTGCTGCACTAGGAACACGTGGCCTTCACTTGCAGAATAACATCTTGTTTTGTTCTGAGAAGGAACAATGCTGAGAAGTTCTGGAGTGCTTCTCAATGCTTCTGTCAGTCTGCACGGTACAACCTCTGCTGAGTCATTCCCAGGCTGTGGCTCTCTTCTGAAAGCATCTCTGCAAAAAGTGACATTTAGTTTCAGGCTGTCAAAATAATTTTCATTATTTTAGTTTGCATTGAGTGCTTCCAGTGATTAGCTGCAAACTCTGCTGGCAGTGCCAGTCACTCCGTGTTCTCTGTGACTCATATGTGCCATCAGGGATAAAATTCTGGAAAAGTTTTCATTCACTAGTGACAACATTCTCCTCTCATTAAAGGCCAAAGTGGAGGCTGCCCATGCCTTTTGAGTGCTGTGAGCTGGGAATTCATTAATGAATTCAACTCCATGAGTGGCAAGTGCCAAGAGGATGATCAGACTCTGCTCAGTGGGGAAACCAATCAAACAAGAGGGAACAGCACAAACTGATGCCCAGGAAGTTCCACCTGAACACAAGGAAGAACTTCTTTGCTGTGCAGTCCCTGAGCACTGAACAGATTGCCCAGAGAGGTCGTGGATTCTCCTCACTGGAGATATTCCAGAACCCTCTGGACACAACCCTGAGCCATGAGCTCTGGGCTGGCCCTGCTGGAGTAGGAGGTGGGACCAGTGACCCACTGTGGTCCCTTCCAACCCAACTGATTCTGACTCAGCTGTGGAGTCAGACTTAAACTTTGCTTAAATTTCATTTCAAACATCTATAGTGTTCTTCTTAAATCTGGACTTTTATGCCCTCGAGTTCCATGTAACTCCTCGGCCGACTAAGCATTAAGCCTTGCTAATCATTTTGAACAAGTCTTATTTAAAATTCTGATCAGGCGTTTGTAACAGTCTCGAGTGAAAAGGAGAATTAGTGCTGGAGTCAGGTGAATGTCAACTGCAAAATAAAAGTTGCAAACCTACTTACAGCAAGGTGAGAATGTGAGTTCAGTACTATCAATGTTATGAGTGCCACTAATGCTATGAACATATGTACCAACAATTGTGCCTATCCAAGCTCAGTTCTCACAAAACCATTTTCTGCTGCTGCTGTTAACAGAGCACTTCATCCAGCTGAAGAGTTCAG